CGGTTGGATGTCCTGAGGATGTTGAAAGCAACTCTGGAGTGGAAAGAGAAAGCTACTGTTCTGCCTGTTTACGTGTTGCCACAGCAACAGCCTTCATTATTGGGCTTTCCAGCAAATACAGTGCGTGGCATCGCTACATTTGTAGACCCCGTTGCAGTGGAAAAGCCTGCTGTTGCGACAGGTGACATCTTCGAAGGTCTCAGAGAATTCCAAGATGTGTATACTATCAAGTTGCGCCCAGATGCACAACCATTTTCACTCAGCGTGTCCCGAAGAATACGGCTACCTCTTCATGCCGCCGTAAAGAAGGAGCTGCAGAAGATGGAGAAGGAAGGTGCAATTCGCCGGATAGACTCTCCGACTTAATGATGTGCTGGTATCGTGGTCGTTCCCAAACCGTCAGGTGACTACCGTATCTGCGTGGACCTGACAAAATTGAATCAATCGTTGCTACGCGAACGACATGTGCTACCATCAGTGGAAAGCATCTTAGAGAGTATCAGTCAAGGCAAAGTGTTCTCTAAACTCGACGCCACCGCAGGATTTCACCAAGTAAAGTTAGCAGAAGAAAGTAAAAAATTTGACTCATCGCTCCTTTCGGCAGGTACTGTTTCCAGCACCTTCCATTCGGTATTTTCTCTGCACCAGAGTACTACCAACGCCGAATGAGACACATTCTTGAAGGAATGGACGGCGTGGTAAATATGATAGATGATATCTTGGTCTTTGGGCGAACAAAGGAGGAGCATGACCTAAGACTTGAAGAGCTCATGCAACGCCCACAAAGCGCTGGTGTAAAGCTGAACAAGGCAAAGTGTGTGTTTGCTGTACCCAATGTAAAGTTTTTGGGTGTAGTAGTGGGCAGCGATGGAATCTTGCCAGACCGGACAAGATTAGTGCTCTTGCAAATCTACAGGCACGCTCAGATGTCAGTGGGTGAGAAGGCTACTCGGAATGGTACACCACGTGGGACGCTTCCTACCAAACCGTTCTGAAAATACAGCACCAATACGTCAGCTCCTCACCAAGACCAGCACATGGTATTGGGGCCCAGACCAGCAGAAGGCTTTTCAGAATGTGAAAGACGCACTTACGAAACGTTACTGCAACGGCAAGGTACGACCCCATGTTTCACACCACGCTATCAGCCGATGCCAGCTGAAATGGTTTAGGTGCAGTGCTGCAAGATAACACCACGGGCGAAAGACGTGCTGTTGCCTACATTTCCAGGTCGCTGTCACCTACTGAGACAAGGTACAGCCAGACTGAGAAAGAGGCTTTCGCAGTAACATGGGCTGTGGAAAGATTTGACCAGTTTGTCAGGAGTATAGTCTTTGACATAGAGACTGATCATAGGTCACTAATTACGTTGCTGGGTAAAGCAGAGCTCGACGTGATGACACCACGCATTCAAAGGTTTCGTATGAGGCTTACCGTATTCCACTCGCATAATCCTCGCACTTTTTTTGGATGGAAAACCGATGCAAAGTTCGATAGGTGTGAAATTACGCGGAGAAAACTTTCCATAAATACGTACAGAGCAAAAAAGAAAAACGAAGTGGCCACGAATTGGGAAGAAAATGAAGTGGTCGCGAATCGGGATTCTCACACCAGCAACTAAAAGCAAGCTTTAAGAAGTACTAATCAAAATTTACCTCAACAATAAATTCAGAGGTTCAACACAAGGCAAGGTTTATTTGAGACACAAAAAGTGCAAGCAAATAGTCGAGAATTAGAATACAATACGCAAAGCTTGTGGGCGTTGCGGGCATAGTGGTAGCGTTTGTCACTCAACAGGAGCCCTCAAAAAGTAAGCGTACGATATCAGTACTGGGCTGATAACTATTTATTAGAATTGTCCGCAGTTTCCTTCTGAAGAAACAAAGCTTACCATCAATCCCAGTCTTAGGCACACGGCAGGCCCAACACGTGTTGCTGGCTTTCAGCTGCCGTCACCAGTAGCGAACACAAAACTCGTCAACTCCGAAGGGCCTACCGACGGCCCTGCTGCCGTTGTTTAGTGCATGATCAATCACTTCCTACTTGAAAGCAGCCATGTACCTTCAGTATCGCCCCATAACGTGACAAGATTACCAACGTAACACACAAAACACGCCGCAACGCGCACTTTCCGCTTTGGCTTGGCTTGGATTGAATCTCTGTGTAATAATAGTACGCTAGATGCTTAAGAGATGGCACCAGATGGCGCGCGCTATCATCATCACGGCTGGAACAAGAAGACGACATTATTGCGACAATTTTCGGGGGTGCAATAATTACTCGAAGAAAAAAAATCGTATTTTTGTTGGGCGATGTGGGGAGTGCGAGAATTATGCGAGTGTGAGGATTACGCAAGTAAATACGGTATGCGTTACCAGTACAATGTTTTCTATGTGCCAGGAAAGCACTTGGCCACTGCAGATACTCTTTCACGTGCGCCAAGAAAAACCAAGACTCACGAGCATTGGACGGAGAGATCACAGTCATGGAGGTCATCGAATCTACAGTGATGACTGTTGATACACTTCTCAAATACCAAGATGAAGATGCAGTCTGCGTAGGTCTTGGCAGATTGTGTAAAGACAGCTGGCCAAACCATCCGTCGAAGGTTCCACAATTACTGCGTGCATACTGGAAGAAGCGGGCAAACTCTCTGTTGTATGAGGACTTCTGCTAAAGGATGGTAGAATCGTGGTACCACAGTCGCTTCAGAAAGAGATTCTCTGCAGAATTCACAATGGCCATCAAGGCATTGGAAGATGCAAAGCACAAGCACGCGAATCAGAGTGGTAGCCTACTATAAATAGACAAATAGAAAGTGGTTACAGGCTGCAAAGACTGCGCATCAACGAGAGTTCAACACAGTGAACCCCTCATGTCTACTTCAACGTCAAAGGGTCCCTGGGAACGAGTAGGCATGAATATTTTTGAACTCCAAGGTAAACAATATGTTATCCTTGTGGATTACTTCTCTCGTTACCTGGAGGTGATCAGCCTGGCTCAAACATCATCTCAAGCGGTGATAGCAGTCATTAAGAGCTGCTTTGCTCATTTCAGAGTCCCGTCAGTGGTCGTCTCTGAAAATGGACAATTTTCATCAGAAGCTTTCAGAGATTTCAGCAAAGCCAACAGTTTCTCACATGTTACCTCAAGCCCATGCTACCCACAAGCAAATGGAGAAGTTGAGCAGATGGTACGTACGCTGAAAGATGTTTCTGAAATCAAAAGACATCTATCTGGCTCTTATGACATATCGAGACACTCCTGGAGTAATAGGCTACAGCCCGGCTCAACTCTTGATGGGCAGATGTCTGAAGATGACAATTCTCGAAATTGACGTGGCTCTCACTCCGAAATGGCCTTCTATTTCCAAAGCAAGGAAGAAGGACAAAAAGCCAGGGAAAAGCAAACGCGCAACTTCAACAGACATCATGCGGCTCGGGAGTTGCGACTATTGATGCCAGGAGAGAATGTATGGGTGCAAGACATTCCTTGTGTCTCTAAGGTACTAAGCCCAGCACAGAGGCCTCGATCATATATCGTGGAAACATCAACTGGGGTTATTCAACAGAACAGGAATGAACTGGTGCCCTTTGATCCAACTTCAAGGGACAGTACCTCGTCCTCCTCTGCAGATTTACTGCGAGAACCGGTAGACCAGACATTTCAGGATGAGTCAAGCGACCGTACCCAGTCACCCTCTGGAGGCTTGGAGCAAGAACCATCGGGCACAACTTTGCGTGAGGTGCGGAGAAATCAGGACATTTACCGTACTCGGTATGGCCGAGTCGTGAGAAAGCCTGAAAGACTGAACTTGTAATTTCAGGCTTGTTGAGAAAGGGGAATGTAGCGATTCTTACTGAGAGACTGTTACTGAGAGATCTTACTGAGAGATCGCGCACGGAGGCGCCGGGGTTTGGGGCGAGTGCTAATAAACGTGGATTTTGGTTCTTGGCTGCTGACGTGTGCGGGTGTGCATTATTAGCATAAGCTACCGCTTGCATGCTGCAGTGCAGACACATGCGACAAAAGGTATAGATGATTGCGAATAAGCGCCTCAGTTTTTACTTCGTTGTGTCTGAAAAGCACGCCCTTTTCGCAATCGGAGACTGTGCAACGAATGCAGTGACATTTCTGCACCTGGTAACTACAACAGGATCATTCCGGTGAGAGCTCAATGCATACAATGTTCCCCACTGCGAGATAAGGGCGGGCGTGTGAGCGTCCAAGCTCTTCCTGTTTGCAAGGCAAAGTACGCGTGGGAGATGAGAGCGTGCTCCGCCGCGTCATGACGATCTGGCGACATGCGCTTACTGCGTTATCTCGCTGGTAGTGCTGAAAACACGGCAGTTTCCCCGAGATAAGCATCGGCAGCGGTAAGTGGTAGATATAAATAGCTTGTTGTTTGAACGTTGAAGGAGGTGCTCCTTCGTGGCTCAAGAGCTAACGTCTCGCACTGACAATTCAGAGGTAGGATGTTCCATTCCGCGCACCGGAGTCTTTTTATGGATTATTTTTCTTTCTTTCATTTTTATATATATATATATATATATAGATACGTATACATATACGGTGAATGACGGTGACGCTGATGGCAAAATCCAGCAGAGAGTTTCCATATAATTGTTATCACAATAAAAAGAAAAATATTGATCACTGCTGAAATGAAAAAACAGTCTAACGTGCTGGTCGGGTGAGGTGCCAAGAAAGTTCGCTTTGAGTTATGTGTTAAGTGCTTTATCTGAGACACAAGAATCCACTCTAAATTTTAATTTAGTGCATAGTGAATGCGCTCGTCAAGTGCTCTTCTTGTAAACCCGTCAACTGTGACGACAGTAGTACACAGCTTTTATGCTAGAGCCCAAGAGTAATATACAAAATTTAAACTTCTCATGACAATGGCCAAACGAGTTGATCAGATAACACATCCACACTTTGCAGGTCGGGCAAAACAGGATGCAAGTAAAGCCTCAAGGTACATGAAGATGAAAGCAACTAACTTGTTGATGAGGTTGATGGGCACTTTGATGAGAAAGCCCGTGGGGCTGCGAAGGACGCCCATAACGCCCTTCTTGCCGTAACTGTCCACACAGACCAACTCTGGCTCCATTCCTCTGTTGGCCATCAGCACCTGGGCCATCACGACGTCGCCAACCTAGTCAACATGGAGAAAGAGAAAATTCAAAGCCCTTCCACCACTGTAATTTTAATAATACTTGCTGGGGTTTTACCTCCCAAAACCACAATATGATTATGAGGGCTCCAAAAATTTCTACCGCCTGGGGTTCTTGAGCTTGCACCGAAATCAAAGTACGTGGGTTACAAGCATTCTTGCGACCATCGAAGATGCGGCAGCCGCTCCGCCAGAGTGAAGTTGGAAGCCAGAGAACTTGCAACAATGGGGGGTCTAGTATAGTGAATATCACTAGAGTGAACTTATATTTTATCATTATTACTATACCGAGCGAATAAGAAGACAAGCTGTTGTGACCGGGAATGACGCTGGGTTTCGGGGGCATGAACCGCCAAGGCGAACAGTCGCCCCAGGAATGGTTGTTGGCCATCTGCTCTCTACGCAAGCACTCAAGGATCCTGCTGTTTACGTAGTGCACGACACATATTACACCATCAAAGGTGGTAAACGGCAATCTATTTACATGAAATCCTGTCGTACATAACAGCATTGTTTTGAAAATACAAAACTGGCACTACAGTCCTATTTTACACAAATGGCCACTTGTATTCGTATTTGTAGTGCAAAAACAGACCAGACGTAGACACAAGTAAGAAAAACATACACAGGACGTCTGCATTTGGCTTTTTTTTTGCGCTACAAATATGAATACAAGCAACTAAAACCAACTAACCTACATCACTGCTTTGTATACAAGTGGTCTTTTCTTCGACGCAATTTTTTTAATGACATTTGGCCATTTCAAGGAAATTATATGACAGCGTGTTTATTTTCGAGCCATGTCCATCTTTTGACACTGGATTAGTTTAGTGAATCGGTTTGTCGGCAATTGGTTTTTTATGCGTATTTTGTATGCGGATGTGATCTGCCAGAACATAGCCCTATACAACTCGGCTATGAAAATAAGTCACAGCATTAGCATGAGCTGTCAAAGACACAGACATTTTTTCACACTTGGGGGAAAACTCAAAGCACCATGATGCAGCAATAAGAGCAGCCATGTGCTGACAGCAGCTTACGCAGGAGCAGATGCTACAAATGTGTAGTGTTGAACCATGTCGTCTGCTACGATGTCGTGCGCTGGCTGCAATGTTGGGAAGCATATTACACTCTGCGGCAGCGCTCGGAGACCGAGCCCGTTCCGAGCACATTTTGGTGTCTCTTTCTCGGCGCTGTGCATTACAGCAGCACATGCAGTGAAAAAATATATGTGCACGCTCTCAGTCCCTGGCATTTACAAAGAGAATGGTGTCTAAACAGGCAGCCACCAGCACCCCACTTTTGGGAGAGTGAAGACTCAAAGGTTGGCGTCGTACAAAGTTTAGCAGGGATTATAAGCTCAGTTCTATAAGTAGAGATGAAATCCGCACAGTGCCCTTGTAAGTAGCATGCTTTCAAAAAATGCCTCCAGCACGTGTTGCAGTTGCAGACTACATGGTTCAACACGCCGTCCTCAAGGGCCTTTATTGCAAATGACCCCAGTAAATTCTGGAGTTTTATCAGTGAAAAGAAAAGACCTGTATCCCAAATATCAATTGATGGAACCAATGTCACCGATCAGAGAGACATTGCCCGGCATTTTAATCAATATTTCCAGAGTGTGTTCAATACTTTTGATTTCTACTGTATATCTAATGCTACAGCCTTTCCTTATGCTGAAGCACTGTTTATTTCTTATCCAGGCGTGGTGTCTATGTTGCTAAATTTAAAAACTAAGGCATCCTGTGATCCTGATAACATACCAAACGTATTTCTACAACGATATGCTTTATCTCTAGCAAAGCTTTTGGTTATTATTTTTCACTGTTCTTTGTTGTCTTTCCAGCTACCCAGTGACTGGAGGTCGTGTTGTACCCATCTTTAAAAAGGGGGACTGGTTAGCACTAGGAAATTACCATCCAATCTCACTAACTTCACAATGTTGTCAAATTATTGAACACATCATAGCTACTAGTATAAACAAGTATATTGAAGAACGCTCTATATTAACCATGTATCGACATGGTTTTCGGAAAGGATTATCCACCGTAACTCAACTCGTCACACTGTTTCACTCTCTTGCATTAAACATCGATAGACACGGTAGGACAGATATGCTCTTCTTAGATTTCTGCAAAGCCTTCGATAAAGTTCCCCACAGTAAACTCATTTCCAAACTTAGAACAATAGGTATACCCGAAATATTCGTTTGTTGGATTTCTGCGTATTTGAATAATCGCAAACAGTACGTTGATGTAGGGGGCCAATATTCGGACTGTCTTCCGGTCACATCGGGCATACCACAGGCCCTTTGCTTTTTGTATTGTATATCAATGATATTGTTGATGTTATTCACCCTAGTGTGGAAATGAGATTGTTTGCAGATGATTGTGTTTTGTTCAAAGAACTACGTTCCACTAACGATTTCAATGATCTGAGCACTAGTCTTTGCAATATATATGAATGGTGCAACAAATGGGGAATGTGTCTCAACGCGAACAAATGTATGTGCCTTCCAGTGACTCGCCAAAAGAATCCACAATCGTATACATACATATTAGGGTCTTCACCACTGCAACAAGTAAACTCCTACAAATACCTTGGTGTGACACTTACTTCCAACTTATCTTGGAATCTCCATATTGATAATGTTTGTTCATCTGCCTTTCGTAAACTATGTCTTCTTAAACATAAACTTCAAAGTGCTCCCACGAATGTTAAACTACTTTGTTACACAGCCCTTGTGCGGCCAAAACTAGAGTACGCGAGCATAGTATGGGATCCTTATACAAAACGTAATATACACACTCTTGAGCGTATTCAAAGAAAAGCTGTTAGATTTATATTCAACAAGTACTCCAAGTTAGACTCATCCTCAGATTTAATGCTAGCCAACAACATTCCCTCACTGCAGATGCGAAGACAAAAAGCTAGATTAGAATTCCTTGATCAACTTTTCAACAAAAAAATAGCTCTAGACCCATCCCCGTATTTGACACCCCTTAGTAGCCGGCCCACCCGACACCACCACCCAAAGGCCTTGATCCCATATTTTGTTCGCACAGACCTACTGAAGTATTCGTACTTTCCAAGAACCATATGCGAGTGTAACTGTCTTACTAATACATGTGATGAATGAACTAACCTACCAAACAACCTTCTTTGCCCTTTATTGTTTCGTTTTGCAATTATTTTATTTGTATGTGTATCACCACCCTGCTTGTACCTCGAGTCTGCAGTATTGAATAAATAAATAAATAAAATATGTGCGAGCTGCCGCCGTTGCTTGACTCCAGCGCTCACCTCATCACGATGCCATGCACTCTTGAGTTTTACCCCAAGTGTGAAACAGCCTGTGCAATTGAGAGTCACAAGTAATGTCCAGAAAGTGCACTTTAGCTCACACCTGGAACACTTTCAGCAGATAATGTGGAAAAATGTATGATACTTTTAGAAAGCAGTGCGATAGCGTTAGTTTCCGTGCAGGATGAATTGAGTGGTGGTATAGTTTCCAGTGTGGTGCTTAGTAGGAGCAACACACTACAGAAAATACTCGCTTGGAATGGAATAAATATGGAATAAATCTCGCACGTGACATTTTCATGAACAAACGATCAGATACCGCCCATTTCTTATAACAGTTGTCATTTCTTACAACATTTCTTACAAGAGTTGTCCTGGTCATGGGGTGGTGTTGATGGCAGTGTTACATAAAAAGGGATTGTTCAGAGCATGTTCATGCTTAAGACATGGAGTCCGGAGCTGAGGTCAGATTGCAAATGAAGCCGGGAATGCCAGAAACTGCAGCTTTAATACTGCTCCCATGCAAATTGTGCACAAGGTTCGTTTATTCACCAAGCAAATGCAAATGCATCGACATAATACACACTTCTTTATTGTTTTCTTGATACTTTCGATAATTTGGTATTCGGTTAGTTCGAACATTATTTATGGTCCAGTGCAATCAAGTTTTTACTGTATTACTATCAAACCACTTTATTGCAAGGTGGCCAGAATTTAAAAAAAGGAAAGAAATGCAGTAGCCACAAGGAATTTTTGATAATTTTTTATGCTCTCTTTATTGGCTGTTACCAATTGACATACAGAAAATATTAAAGTGAGATACATTTCAAAATGCATGTAGATGCCTTACTGACCCTGCGATATTAGGAAAGTACTGATAAAATTATCTAATTAATGACTACTGATTGATGAAATGCATTGTCAATGGGTTACTCTCTAAAGAACAACTTATATAGATTTTCTTTGCATAACATGACTGTTCTCTTTTTAATCTTGGTGAATGACAAAGCAGCGTTAAATTCAGTGTTGGAAACACACTTGCCAAAGCAACAGGATGGTTAATTGCATTAATTAACAGCTTTTTACAGTGAAAGCTGTTATGAGATCATTGTAAGGGCTGATTTTGACACCACTTAGTGTATACCTTTATTGTATGATGTTAAACCAAATGCTTAAATTGTGAATTACTGCAATGTAATCTACGAAGCTGAAAGTGGTTTGTGTCAGTGAAGCTTTTGCATATGGCTTCATTTTGTGTGATGGATAGCATGCTTTAAGCCACAAGCATTTATGTGCGTGAAATTTTTTCGAACTTGCTATGCTCCTGCTATGTGGCCTTAAGGGAATAGGCGCAATAGCATGTGTGCCTTTTGAAGTGATTGGACAGCTTTAAACGGTGAATAAATTATAATAATCACATGGTCTGACGCCCGATGGCAATGTACGCTTATACCACGCATTATTACTGCAATACTCAAACCTAATTACAACACAGCTGCATGTTACAGCAAAATATGTTCATTATATCCAAAAGTTTATCATAAGAGATATATTCCTAGCACAATATTCATTACAAGAATATTGTTTTCTTCAATTACTTCGTTATAATCGATATTTCTTTATATCCGAGTCAGTTACATCGAGGTATGAGTGTATTTCATACTGTATTGTAAAGCGCGTATACAGGACACATGTGTTTGTAAAGCATTAAAGTTACTTTCACTGCATTTTCAAGTAGAAGCAGCTATTTTGACTGTATTCCCAAATAGACGCGTGGCTGTGTAGTAGAGCGTGTGCTTTCCACGAAAGTGACGCGGGTTCGATTCTTACTCAGACCCTGAATTTTTCATTATTTACTTTATTTGCATCTTTCTCGATTTTTCGGCCATGCACAAGATGATGCTCACAAGCAACGACGCCGATGCCAACACGGACACCAAAATATCTGTGAAACAAGCTCTTTAATGCTATCACGTAAATATTAATTGGTTTGCAAGTGGCACCTAATCCCACCTGAATGAGATGAATGCACCTGAATCCCTAGCCTATGGTTAGTTGGGATTCCCTCAAAAGTAATCATGAAAAGAGGCAGGTACCTACGAAAAAAAAAGTATACAAAAACAAGTATTTTAATAAAGTTATAAAACTTCGAAAACTGATGAACATGAGATATTTATAGAGCTTAACGACTAATCGTAGGTGTGCAGAAAAACAGAAAGAACAGAATAAAGATAGCATATCAAAGAGTAAATATAACAATAGCGTATCAAAGAGTAAAGATAACGATAGCATATCAAAGAGTACAATAGCATACAGACACGTAAGGTAGCTTAGGTAGCAAGTTCGAATGCCACCTCGTGAAAAACCTTAGCCACTAGACCACCACGGCGGGGTGAGTAGCAGAATTTGCCCAAATTCTGTGAACACCCATTCATGGTGGCAATAGTTTCTGGGCATGGTCACGCACTTTACAACGAGCTTGAACAGCTTCTTTGTTAAAATTACAATGCTAAAGTGCTAGCCGTCTTTTATTCTCGCCTAAAAACTGCAAAACTGACATTTTGGTGCATCTTTGGCACAAGTTATGTGATTTTTGTTGAGATGTAGCTGGATGTAGCAGGCTTCACCTCTTAGCGCAGTCCGCGGCACAAGTGGCAGAGCAATCACATTGCTGTTTTACACATCAAGAAGCTCGCGAAGAGTTGACTTTATCCAGTCGATTTACCTCCACATCAGGCCTGTTCCTCTTTGTAGCTCCTTCGAAGGCAAACACAGACAGTGTAGCAGGCTCACTGCTGCCAATGTTCACGCGTACCGTTTCTCCTCCCTTGTTTATCACAACTCCAATGACGCAGTCACCTTTTGCCGGGATATACTGCAAGAAAGTATTATTGTCACTGTTTAATTATAACAAACATTTATTTGTTGGAATAAAGCGACACTTTGGTGACTTGGCTTAATAGCTAAAACGTATAAACTTATAGCTCATTCTTTGACCATTTCAAGCTGCAGCTGAAGTTGTCACATATGCTGCATGTGCTTAGAGATTAGCCCAATGTCCCAACAGTTTCTGGCAGGAAGCTAAAGAACTCCTTAGCAAAAATTAAAGGTGAAAGTCTGATCATGAAAGGACATTCATGTTATGCAGGCTGTTCTGTCAATCTGAGCATCCTGAGTCAGCGAACATATTGGCGCAACAAACACATCGACGAGGCAGGCCTAAAGCTGCATTCAGATAAACGAAACAAAAGTGGGGTGTCATATTGATGCTCGTTTTTAACAGTACCCCTCAGCCAGAGGCAAGCGACTGTCGTTGCTCTACATAACGTTCCCCTGCGACGAATAATTTGATGGCTGTATATTTGGCATTTGCTTGCCTTTCTGCAATACTTATGATCACAGAGCCACTTACTGATTGAGAACTTGCCATTTGCTTAGGAGAAAAAAATTATATGCAGTACTGCACTCACACTGGTGATATCCTCGCTTCAAATGCGTTCAACACATATACGGTTTGAAGTTCGATTAAAGTTCACCCACATTTGAACAATTTAGCTAAGACAACTACTTGTATTGGGAAGCACTTAAGAGAAAATAAAGCTCTGAGGGGTGATGTTCAAATTTTAAGCATGTCTCCTACAAAGGTCAGAAGAGAAAGTTGAGAGAAGATCCAAAAGTGCAAAGAAATCCAAGAAAAAAGGTAGCGCATGCTGGAACCCCTCGGTAGATCACCCTTGTCTACAAACCAGTTGATTGAGTGGACTTTCTGCCACTGTATTCGCAATAGAGACATGCCTATCTTAATGTTGACTGGTGGGATCCTCACACTACATTTAATCAGCAAAACATGCGATCAACACATGGCAATTTATCCAAGATACACATGTACACCCTCCAGCCTCTAGGATGTCAATAAATTCCCCATTCGAACTTTTTTTCAGAGTGAACAAAGAACTTGTAGTGGTTGCAAAGTGTCAATCCTATTTGCCCATAAAAAAAAAATTTACACGAAAGCTTGTTTTACGATAGACATCTGGCGTGCTTGAATAAATCCAAGGTCTAAAACTAATTATGCTCAGGAACATTAAACACTATTTTCCTCAACATGCGGGATACTCTATAATAGTTGTTACGGTAGTATGTTGGACCTAATAGTACGAATATAGGCCACTCAAGTGGTTTACCACTGTATATATGCCGAGACCAATGTTTCACCATACTATCAATGCTTACCATGTTTAAGCTGTGCTTAGCTCAGGGTCAGGCAGAGATACTCAGAAAAGTATTCCGAAATAATGATATAAAAATACACGCATGCCCAAAATACAGATACTGAGATACATTTGTCTTCAACAGAACCGGATACTTCTGAAACACTTTTCAAACAAGACAAAAGAATATTCAGGAATATAGATACAGGAACACAGATACAAGAGTAGGAGTACTGGAACAGTTGTTTAATTTCGGGAATACTAGTGCTCTGGCAACATGCACTAGATGCAGGAGAATATCGAGGTTAATGCTTGACCACGCTGAAACTTGCTAGTCAAGCGTATCAAATAACGACCAACAGTAGTTAATAAAGAAAAAGTATACATTCATTCTAGACACAATATCTGCATTCCTGAGATGATTGTCGAGTCAAGTGCATTTTATCGACAGCAGCTTTCCATATGAGCTGTCATTTAGACAACACTGCTTGGACCATAGCACAAAACTCTCGAAATGACTTCTCACCCGAAAAAGGTGTTGGAGCGGCACCTGCCTGGAGGGATTGCAACTTTCGTTGACACAGCACGACTAACTCCGTGATTCTGTTTTCAGAGCCTCAGGCACTTCACGACATCGGCTATTCTTGGTGTGTGAGAAATACTTTGTCGCCTCCCACTGCATTGGAGACCAGTGGGGTGCCTTTGCTTGGCGGTGCTCAAAAATCTGCCTTTCCCCTTTACAAATAGGTCAGCTCATTTACAACAAAAAAAAAAGATAACGAGTTACCCATGTCATGTGCAGTATCGCGATATAATCAATACATCGAAAGCATATTGCATTACTGAGATACAAATACATTTTTCAAATGCATCTCAATACAGAAATATGGAGACTCAAATGTATTTCTAAGGTGCTATCACAATACTCTTGTATTGCGATACTGCCCAGCCCGGGTTTAGCTTAACTTTTTTTGGCGGCGAGGGACGGGGGGACACGGTTTTCAAAGAGATATGCATTGGTCGTTGCCAATTCGTAGCTAGCATTTATGTTTTGAGGCCCATAACGCTAGGTGGAAATCAAGTGTGAGTGCGGAACACTGTTATGGCCCCTGGCAAAAAGAGTGTTGCAAACTCGCTCCCTTGGATACAAGTGGTGCGAGCTGACACTCTCAGGCATTGCACGAGCTAACATAACCAATGATGTGGAAGAAGAAGTGCTTAAAATGACTGACCAACCGGGTGAACTTCTGACACATACTTAGAAGATTGTCTGTTCATATCCCACTCATGAAATGGGTGATGTTATATCCACTTTCCTTCATCTCAATTTATGCCAGTTACTACACTACAGTTAAAGGGATTTGGAGCCGGCACATTTGCCGACATGTCGCTGATGCAACTGTTGCTGGTGCAGGTACCTCCGCTGCTGGTTTCTGCGATCCACTTTGATGCAGCGGAACGCAGGACACAGCCCTTTTTGCCTGATCCCTGGTCAGCATCTACAGTATCTCGACTATCATCCACACGTGTGCATGGGTCACCATCTGTCGTCAGAGACACGTGTGACCCGAGCCACGGATGGATCAGCGAGGATCAACCAATCAATTTGGGCCAACAGAACTCACGTGGTGCCGATCAGGCGTATATAGGCACTCAGCACGATGGCTTCGTGGGATTTGGAGCCGGCACACTTGCCGACATGTCGCTGATGCAACTGTTACTGGTGCAGGTTAGTCATTACTACCCATCTCAATCGCGGAGACTTGTATGTGCATTGCCGGCTCCTCCCACATTGCTAACTGTTCGTAACAAAAACCACGGATGCACGATGCATACGTCGCGTCTGAAGAGATTCCGATTATTTTCTAACAGAGTGCTGTATTTGATTTTGTTGTTAATACTCGCGGGGGATGTTGAACTGAACTAAGGTCCTGCTAAGACACCGGAGATGGAAGTGCTGAAATGTTTGCAGAGTGGGCAGGAAACTTTAATTTCAAAGTTAAACGGCATTGAATCCAGGTTCGAAAAAAATGAGAACATACTGATGGAAGTAAAAGATAATCTTAGCCAAACTCAGAACCAGATAAAGGACATCAGCAAGATTGTAACGGAACAGGCAGCTATAATACGGCAACTCATGCAACAGGTGAAAGATCTGCAAAAGAAAACAAATGACCTCGAAAACAGAAGTCGCCGGAAAAATCTTGTTTTCTATGGCGTTGATGATAAAACCTCAGAATCCTGGGATGAATCCGAAGCTATAATAAAGAATATTTGCAAAACGAGCCTTGGAATGGAACTCGAGTCTGTGGAAAGGGCACATCGCTTAGGACGCTATAATGAGAATAAGAAGAGGCCAATTATTGTTAAATTCTCATTGTACAAAGAGCGTCAGGCAGTGCTTCTCAATGCCAAAAGATTCAAGAATTCCCAGTACAGCGTTAGCGAAGATTACTCACATGAGACAAGAAGTATCAGGAATAAGCTGCGGGAATATGCTAAGACAAAAAGAGAGGATAAGAACAACAAAGTGAACCTGAATTTTGACAAACTGATTATTAACGGCAGGGCTTTCAGGTGGGATGACGAAAAAGAAGAGGTCGTCCCAGTACGCAGGCAATGACAAACTAGAAAAAAGGAGAAATACCGATGTCAAGAACTTGTTGCCGTCATCGTGAACTGCCGAAGCGTAGTTAATAAAGTTGCTGAGCTCTTGGGCTTAATTGAGAGTGTTAACGCAGATATAGTCCTTGGCACAGAATCTTGGCTAAAGCCCTTGATTGCTGATAGTGAGGTGTTTCTGCAAAATTACGTCGTCTATCGCAACGATAGGCTCACAGCAGGTGGTGGCATTTTTTTACTTGTTCGTTCTTGCTTACAGTCATCTGAAGTTGATTATAAGTGCGACGCACTGGAGTCTGTATGGTGCAAGATAATACTGCCTGATAACTTCGCGTTTTTGGTCGGAGTAGTTTATCGCTCGCCGAGCTCAGATATTAGCATAATGCAAACATTAGATGAAATTCTTTCTGAAGCATCAGCCCAAACAATACTCCTAGGGGGGGATTTTAATCTGCCTGGCTTATCCTGGGGTAATGGTTCCTGTATAAGTATAAGCGGGCGCATGAACCTTGCGATGAAAAATATCGTCGACACGTTTGGTTTGACGCAGTACGTTACCACCCCTACTCGCAATGACGCTGTGTTAGACTTGTTGCTTTGTAACTCGCCAAATTTCGTAAATGACGTGACTGTGATTCCAGGAATTAGTGACCATCTTGCTGTTGTTGCTTGTATCCGAAAGAAAAAAGTGTGTGCGAAGTTACCTACGAGTAGAAGGATCTACTTTTATGACAAGGGTGACTACGATGCAATTTCTAAAGAACTTTTTAATTCGTTCCCTGTTTTCGAATGTCTTTTTGAGGAGGGCAATGTGCATGATATGTGGCACAAATTTAAGAATATATTTTCCGAGTTAACAAATAGACATATCCCCAGTGTTCATTCATCACGGCTAAAAAAGCACAAACAACCATGGGTAACAGCACATATATTAAAACTTATCAACAAAAGAAAGAGGGCATTAGGCGCATTCAAGAAAAGCAAATCAGTTGCTCACTTTGAAAAACTGAAGTCGATTACCCACGAATATAAGCTAAAGATA